GAAGGGCGAGCACCCGGTGCCGGCACTCCAGCACGGGGCTGCTCCGAGAAGAAGCTGGGAGCTTCCCCGGGTCGCCCTCAGCGCTGACCCAGAGGGAATCCAGCTCGGGGTGGGTCTGCGCTGCAGTCACCACAAGCACAGCAAGAACTCCTCTGCTAAGAGCCTGAAGAACTGCTTCACGAGGTCACTTAAACTGTGAGTAGCGAGGGAGTGGGATGAGTCCGGGCAGCGCTGCTGGACGTGGCGAGGCTGCGTGTGGTGTAACCAGCAAGGACCCCACGTCGAGCCGTCACGGTGATCCTAGGGGAAGCGGCTGTTCCGCTCCTGTCGGTCAGACCCCGGCTGGTACAAGCAGCAATGCCACTGGGGACTTCCAGTGCTTACATGGCAACGCCGCGTCCGCTACGTGGAGACGTCCTGCGGGCGCCGGGACCTGCGGCGATTTCCGAGAGCCAACCTGGTGACCAGAAGAGGATAAAGTCGCAGCGTCCTGGGCACCATCGGTACGGGCAGGATGGACACCAGGGTGTCACAGCAGCCGTCCCAAGCACCATCGCCAGCGCACAGCGGGGACCAGCAGCGCGGGCTGCAGCGTTTGAACCCATCCCCTGCATCCTTCCAGGGACAGAGACTCCCGGTGCGGGGCAAGGCCAGCTTCGGAGTGATGTCCTACACAGGGTCTCTGGGAACAGCAAAGACTGGGTCCGAAAAGGCTCCTCCAGGCTGAACGCGTGCAGGGGGAGAAGCTCCCAGCGCTGCTGCCGTGGTGCGCAGGGACCTGGACGGCTGCCTCGGGGTGGACGGGCTCTGCCCCAGCCACGCGCTCCTCCGCGGCCGCGCTCCCTCTCATCTCAAATGGTCTTGAGAGAGCCTTCTGCTGCCCTTATCAGATTGTTCTGCTGTTGAGAGTTAACAGCGGCTCTCGGCCAGGCTGTGATGCGGAGACAGCGGTGATTTTCCTCCTGCTGATCATTTAGCGGGGGTGAGTGCTCGCCCCTGCTGTCAGCGCTCAGCCAGCTTCAATAACAGCGACGCGCTCCCATCAGATGGAGACAAATGAGCAGCTCCTCTCACCAGAAGTCGTGATTCTGCCGAACTTCTCCTAGGACCACTCTGGCAATTTCCATTCCTCATACCCCCAAACATTCCAGCTCATGATGATTAAGATTATTTTTACTTTTTTCCCTTACTTAAGCAAGCTATGAAGGAAAAAGATGAAGAGATCCTGCACGTGGAATCAGAGGCTTCCAAGGAAAACGGAGCTGGTGGGCAACGACCTGCTTTGGCTCTGGCAGCCAGGTGCCCCGGCCACGCTAAACACCAAGCCACCCTGTTACTACACACTCCCTTATTACGGGGCACGCAGTAATTACTACATCTGACTTCAAAGCAACCCCGGTGGAGAAGCAGAGATTTGTTTTTCCTTCCACAGGAGAAGGAAGAAAAGAAAAGATAAAAATGACAAAGCCCCAATCTTTTCACAAGTGGCAATAACTGCTCCAGAGCAGTTGCATGACAGCGCGTTTCCGAACAGCGGAGAGCTTTAAAACTGCAGTGATTGTCCTGACACGTCTAATAAAATCTCCATAACAGTTTTCTCGCCTACAGAGGGTGGTTGTGGTTGGGGAAAAGCAGCTGCTTATTTTTTTTTCAGGACCAACTTTTCAAACCCAGGGTGGATCTCCGGATGCTTGCTGCCCT